TTCTGACTGCTGGGATAAGTTTAAACAAATAATGTTTTATAAAAGAATAAAATAGGTTTCTGGGTATTTTGAACTGTTGTTGAAGAAAGGAACTTATAACTGATAAAGCTGGGCATCACACACTTTCTCACAAAACACCACAACTCAACTCTGACAGCCTTTGCCACTCAGGCTAAACTGTTTGTCTTAGGCACACAGGATAGACTCAAACTGCTTCTTCTGCCATACAGGCTAAAAACTAAAAACTCTCCACAGTAAACCCAGAATCTCCTCTGAGACACACCTCCTCCCACATTCTCTGTCATCAGCCAATCACATCACACTCATCTTCCTCTATCACTCTCCTTACATTACTGCAGTCAAACTAAACATTTAAAGAAACACACACCAAAACATGAAATCATTACACATACTGTGACAAGTACACCCACAGATTTGGTAACAAGTAGTTTATTGCCCTACTTTGCCGGGGGGGGGGGGATCAGAAGGGGGGGGGGTAGAAACTGCACCAAAACCTCAGAGGAAGAAAAACGGAAAGTTTCACTGAGAACAGAATTGTCTTTAACCAGTAGCCACAGAAGGAAGACGACAAGATATAGCTGGAACTTTTAAATTCCATAAATATGTCAAATACTGAGATTTCATATGCTAAGCAAGTTTTAAATTATGCATTTTATGATGTTAAAGTAGTAAACTTAGTTTAAGTTTGCTAGGACAGTTAATACTGCATATATTTCAGGTTTCCCCCAAATTTTCATTTTTTTCCTGGAAAGGAGTCTTTTTTTCATGGCTTCACCATTTCTGAGAAATTTACATCTCTACCTAAAGTGGGACAATTGCTGTAGCTACTCTCCAGTGGACTTGCAAACTGTAAAATCTACTAATAGATTCCATTGGAGGTCTGAGGATTCATCCCCCCCCCCACACACACACACACTCCTTTCAGTCTTGTCTGGGACCAGCATCAGTCAACCATTAATATATATTAACAGACAAAGCAGAAAAGTTTTCTTAAGTAACGGCTGTTGTAAGTATGTTCCTATTATGTAATTTCTGCATTGTTTAGCATACTTAAATGCTTATGCTTTTTTCCAACTCTCTGCAATCCAGACCCTATTGCAACCTTTCATCGGATGTCTCATCTTGTATTTAATTTACTTACCCCCCTTCCCCCCCTCTTTTTTGTATTTGATTTATAATACGTAATCTGCCTTGAGTCTCAGCAAGAAAGGCAGACTATAAATTACACAAAATAAATAAGAGTAACTTAAAACACATCTGCAGACATTAATGAAATAACCACAAACAACCACACAGAACACCAGTCCTACCTTACTTTAGAACAAAGTTTGAGTCCAGTGGCACCTTTAAGACCAACAAAGCTTTATTCATAGTACATGAAAGCTTATACCATTAATAAAACCTTGTTGGTCTTAAAGGTGCCACTGAACTCTAACTCTGTTCTGCTGCTTCAGAAAATCATGGCTAATCCCACCTGAATCTTACTTTACTCTAGTTAGGGTCAACAGAGTAGTCCAATTATTATTTTTGAAAGGACTACAGTCGAATACATGGGAGGCAGCACAGAGCTGGACAACAAGGGTATTAATTTTAGAATAGATTAATTCAAAAAAGTGGACATATGAGATTAGATGGGCTAATTGTCTGTATTTTATTTGTTTAAGATGTTTCTATGATGCCTCTTCAGAATCCTACTAAAGATGGCTTAATTAAAACAATGTAAGGACATTAAAAACAATCTAGTAAAAAAGATGACAGGATAAAAAGCTTATTAAAAATCTGGATTAAAACAAATCTGTTTTGACCCGGTGTTAAAAAGATAGTAAAGTAAGCACAGGGTGAGCCTCAAGGGTGAGGGTGTTCCAAAGGCAATGTGCCACCACAGAAAATGCCTTGTCTGTAGTTGCCACCTGCCTCACCTCTGGGGGTGGGGTGGGGACACATACATTCAATAGGGTTTAGGAGGCAGATCTGTGGACTGGAGAGCATGGGAGGAGACAGGTACTGTCTCACCCCAAGCCATCTATGGCCTTAAAGATAACAATGGAGCCTAAAAACATGGATAACCAGTGCAAACCTTTCAGCACAGGGGTGATACAATCCCTGTAACCAACCTCTGACAGTAGCCTGGCTGCCATGTTTTGGACCTACTCAAGTTTCTGAACCATTTTCAATTGAAGCCCCATATGGAGTGCATTACAGTAATCTAACCTGGATGGAACCAGAGCACAGATCTCTGTGGACAGATTGTGCTTTTCAAGGAATAGCCATAACTGGCAAACCAGGCAGAATTGATACATGCCACAGAGGAGACATGAATCTCTCACTGCAGGCCAGATCCAGTAGAAACTGCAAACTATTGACCTGTCCCCTCCAGAACAATTGTTGAGAAGCTTCTCCATTGATCAAACAGCACCTCACACTTATCTGGATTAAGTTTCAGTTTCTGAGCCCTCATCCATCCCATTACCTTCTCCAGGCTCCTACTCAGGACTTCCATAAACCCACTTGTACTTGAGCATATTAAGTATATAGTGTTAATTAGCCTATCTAGCCCAGAACTTACTCTCAGCTGTATAAGATCAGTATATCTTTCAGAAAAGTATTTTTACTGAATAGCACAGTTCTTCACCATATATATTTTATTTCATGGAATGCAATTATTTCCAAGGCTAGACAAGCCTGTGCTAACTGGAATGCTGTCTGGAATGTGGTTGCACAACTTCTACAAGGACCCACACCATCATTACTGATAAACAATATACACATACCATACCCATCCTACTTTGTTATCCTAACTCTAGCATTCCATTTCCTTACAAGAGAGCTGTAATATACTCATCTCAAAACAATGTCGGGAGAAGCCCTATCTGGAATCAGTGTCGGGCTATTGCTTTCTCATTGGGAAGTTACAAAAGCTAAATACCGCATAAATAAAGCTTTCATGGACAACAGAAGAGAGTTCAATATCAGCAGTTGCTAACCATGATGGAACCTCCCTGCAGCATACCCTCACATATCAAATGTGGATGACAAATTAGAAAGAAGCTGCTGCATTTACACTCAGCTTGGTACCTTCCCACAACCATCCACCCCCCCACCCCAGAAAAAGAATACTGGACAAGATGGAGCCATGGCACAATCCAGTAAAGCAAATTCTTTCTACAGACTTTCTAGCCAGGGATTAAGAGATAGAAAATGCATACTTACGTGAGAAATAGAAAAGGGGAAGACACACACAGAAGTAGACAAAAAAGGAACTGAAGAAGTAACAGATCACAGATCACACACCCGGTAGAGAGAAAGGCCATTTCCAGACAGGCAATTTGCTCCAACTATGATGCTGCTGGAGGACAGATTCCCCTCCCTACACTGTGATACATCTGTGCAGCTTCTGAGGATTTCCTAGCTTTCCCCCAATATTTCCCAAACCTGCTTTACTGAAACATTTAGGGAAAGATTGCAGTAAAGCCTGGATAGTTGCTGCATGGATAAGAAAATTTGGAGTTCCTGGTCTCACCCATATAGCAACCATTTCTCCCAGTTGTTACTTCCTGCCATTGGGATGCTTTTTGGACTTTTTAAAGGTCAGCAACTAAATATCATTTTATAGATACCACACATAACAATATTTGTAGCAGGTTCTCTAAATTTCCAACTTTCTTTTTTTTTAAAAAAAGTAAGCCTCTAGCTTCTAGCAGGTTTTATTTTATGGCCAGGGACCAGCCTACCTAAGGGACCGCCTTGCCCCACATGTTCCCCCAAGGGCACTACGGTCAGGGACTCAACATCTACTGGCTGTTCCAGGTCCCCGTTCTATTAGACTCAGCATGACCAGGAACAGGGCGTTCTCGGTGGCGGCTCCTATCTGGTGGAATGAGCTCCCAGAGGAGATCAGGGCTCTGCGGGACCTAGCACAGTTCCGCAGGGCCTGCAAGACGGAGCTCTTCCGCCAGGCTTTTGAATAGGAGCCGCCACCACTAGTCCACCACTAGTCCACCAGCAGTCCATCATTAGTGCACTAGTGCACCACCATCGCACTAGCTACCATCTATCCCCCATATATGGAAATCAAGATGGGGCATGCACATCTAGTTGCTGCATTATGGGCGAGAACGGGATGGTCAGGGACAGTCATCTTGCTTTTAGAAATTTTTAATTTGCTAGGCATCAAAATCTGTTTTAAATAGGGCTGTAATTTAATATTTTGTATTGTTTTATGGTTTTATCTGGCAATATGCCCTGTAAGCCGCCCTGAGCCTCCGGGGAGGGCGGGATAAAAATGTGAATAATAAATAAATAAATAAATTATTGCAGAGCTATTAGGGGAAATGCATATTCACCTCCCCAAACTCTGCACTCCCCAGCCAGTATCCCAAGATCTCTAGTAATTTCCAAAACCAAAGTTGGCTAGACACTTAGGCTGCCGTCACACACACTAAATAATCCACTTTCAGTGCACTTCCCAACTGGATTTTACTGTGTGAACTGCCAAAATCCAGTTGGAAAGTGCATTGAAAGTGGATTATTTAGTGTGTGTGACTTGACCAGCCTTAGCTGTTTTAAATTGAAAGCTAAGAACCCTGAGAACCTGTTACAGATGTTGCTATAGTGTTATGTTGATAGTTTTTTTTAGTGTTATGGATATAGTGTATATATGTATATATATATATATGTGCATATATATATATATATAGATATAGATATATATAGATATATATAGATATAGATATAGATATACACACAAAAGCAAAAAAACCTGGTGGGGGGCTGGGGGGAGAGGAATGGCTGCTGCTAGGGCCCTGGGCAGGGTAAGTTGGGGGAACCTACCATATAGCAGTTCCATATAGCAACAATGGGGAAAGCTACATATGGCCATGGCAAAAACACCCAAGGCCGCATCTATTATGAACATTTTAAATTTGCACACCAGAGTCCTACACAGGCGAAAACAGGAATCTGGGTGGGAGTTCACTTACTTGGTGCTTCATTGAAGCGCTTGATTGGAGCCTTTGGGAACGACATGTTTCAACAGAGAGAACAGCAGAGTAAGGAACGGAACAAATTCGAAAGCTTCGAACGAGGCCGCGCTTAATAATTGCCTAAATCAGCCAATCAGAGGGCTCCGCCAACCAGACGCTCCACAAATCAAAGTCTCTGCTTTGAGCCGGCGCACTAAAAAACCCGAGGTCAGATTGGAAAAGCATTGAAATAAACGTTGACGAAAAAGATGTATGGTGTCACCGCTTTGGCTGAGGAATGACTAACCGGCAGGAACTCTGAAGCATCATGAATATCAACAATTTTAAAGTGGAAGCTGTACATCGGCAATTCAGCATCAGCAAGAACAGTTTTTTTACATTTCAAAGGGAGACGCTGCATTTTTGTGTTTTCATCTGAAGATTATCTGAGGCATGTAAAAATATGATTTGCACCAAGCGTCATATAGTGTCATTAAAACTCCAAACCTTGTCTCCAGTTTGGCAAGACTACAAACTGCAGCCTTTGAGGCATTTGCACACTGCCCGAAGCACTTCCCCACCCCACCCCCATACCAGCACCCAACCCGATGAAGAGATCTGGGGGAAACTTGAAAAGCACATGTTATTTTCTGATATTTTAGTTAGTACTACGAACAGTGGCGAAGAGTTGTGATGCTGTACTAGGACCATTCGCGCCGCCTATAACCTAGTGAGAAACGGGCGGAAATCGGATGGGAAGTGGCGTCTCTCTGGTTATGATTAGTTCCGGGGAAGGGGGAGCGAGGGAAAACCACAAGGCAACGTGAGCGCGTGCGCATTTGAGTTGGCTGTCTGGCTGGGTGGATGTCGGCGCATTTCGAAGAGCGCAGCGGGCTGGTGCCGTGTGCCACCCCTTGGGGCCGCTGGTACCAGACAATGGAAGAGGTCTTTATCGAGGTGAACGTGCCTGAGGGGACCCGCGGGCGGGATGTGAAGTGCAGCTTGCAGAGCCGGCATTTGTCGCTGACTGTAGCAGGGAAGGATGTGCTCAAGGTAGGGAACGGGGTTAGAAACCACTCAGATTAGTAGGGGACGTTATTGACATCAGAAGTTACTGTGTTCTGTGTGTTGGTAGCAGACGTGATTAGTTTATTTTTAAAGAAAAGTGGAATAAACATAACTAAATGCATGAGTGTATTCTCCCAAGTACTTAGTCAAGCCCCTTTCCCGAAACTGAATCGAACACACGGTTAGCAGTGCATCTTATTCTGTAAGATCTTGTTTATTGCGAGGTAAGTAATCCGAATTGATTACCACGCATAATAGTTGCAGTTAATTTCACCACTGGAAGTGTTGGGTTTGCAGAACCTGGCGGTAATTGTATCTCTGACAAGAGTATAGCTTATGAGGAATGAATCTATGCTAAGTATCTGAGAAGGGCTCCTTACTTAGACCTGCCTCACCCAACTTTGCACATTTGAAAGTAGCTCCACATTGCTTACTGTATGTCTTACAGCTACCAACCGGGGTACTTATTGGCTTGTTTAAAAATGTTCTGTTTGTGATGTAAGAAAACAGGAGGGCTCTGTTTCTGTTGGTGTTCCATCTTATCAAGTAATGATGTAAACATCAATTACTGAATCAGTCTTCAGAAAAGAACAAAGTCTGAGTCCAGTGGCGCCCTTAAAACCAATGAAGTTTTATTCTTGGTATAAGCTTTTGTGTGTGCACACACTTCTTGATAGGTTATACCCAAAATTAAACTTAGTTGGTCTTAAAGGTGCCACTGGACTCAAACTTTGTTTTGTTGCTTCAGACCAACACAGCTACCCACTTGAATCTATCTTTAGAAAAGAGTTTCTGTTGGTAAATGTAATCTGCATTCCCTTCCTTCACCTGCAAATGTCTGTCCATTATGTTATCATTCAGTGACATCCTAAGCAGAGTTACACCCTTAAGTCCATTGAAATCAGTGAGCTTAGAAGAGTGTAACACTGCTTAGGGTGGTACTGTTAGCCTGTGAGCTGCTGAGATATAAGCCTTGGCGCAAATTCTCTCTCAGTTCTTCAGTAATCTCCCCCAGCTGTCTTTTAGAATGGTGAGATTTTTTTTAAAAAGTGGGGAGACAGGCAGAATTTCTCTTCAATAACTTGCATTTTCTTTCTTTGTTAATATGAGATTGATATTGCCTCATTCACTTTATACAATAAGTGAAGGGAGAGTAGATCCAAGTATATTGACAAGCAAAGCAGTATTAAATATCTTCCGTGTAACTGAAGTGGTTACTCTAAATCTCTGGGCTGTCTGCACTGTTTTAGCTTTAATTATCCTGGGATGCTTAGTTTAATGAACTGATCTAAGTGTCTCATGGTTGCATGCTAGGTATCAAATTGGAGAAAACTTATTTTTACCTTGGCTTTCCATAGCAGAATCTATTCCTCCTCTTTTGTGGTTCTTCCCAAATAAAACGGATATGATGCTTCTCATTTTTAATCATCTCTGACATTTGACCCATGGTCTGGCAAAACTCAAGTGCCTCTTTCAGGTGTCTGCATTCATCTTGTATAAGTTTGATTAGAAAGTTGCCTGCTGTTTCATATGCATCCATTTCAGCTGGCTTGAAATTCTCCCTTTTAAAATGAATCTTTACAGGCAAGATAAGACTTGCAACATAAAACAACAATACAAAATTACCAAAATATATACATTTTAAAAGCATATTATACAATTTAAAAACCCATCCTCAATCACATGAAGTGCTCGGTGAAACCAGGACTCCCAACCCCCCAAAAGATGGCGGGATAGTACCAACGATTCCTGGGAGACAGTCTATAGCGTCGCTATTTATTCAGATGTTCCAAAAGATCTTCC